CCTTCGCTGCCTCTGTGCTGCTGCAAACACGTGGGGAGAGCACTAAGTCAGCCCAGCAGCATGCTGGAGGGGTCCAGGGACACGAGCAATGTCCCCAAGCTGTCACTGCCATGCAGATGCCCCGGCTGCGGGTGTTTCTACATCTCAGGTCTTGGTTGATGGTGGTTTTGCACTTTCAGGCAATACGTCTGCCGTGTTTGCTGGGGTGCTTGCTTACCCACTCTGCTCGCCCCTCCTGCACCGAGCGAAGCTGTGACTGCCCCAGGAATGGGCTGAGCATGTGCCCACATCTCAGCCACCCCCAGTTTGCTGGTGCTGGGACCAGGACATCAGCATTTGGTGAGCAGGGGACTGATCTTTCTCCTTCGCTGCTCATTTGCCTTGGGTTGTTCCCTGCTCCGGCACCGAGGAGCTGCATTGCTGCATGAAGCAGCACACGCCTGTGCTGGGCCAAACCTCAGTTTGGCCCAGTTATATTGCAATTGCCATTTCAGGCAGTGCAGAAACTCACTTTTCTGCTGCAGATGAGCTTGAGGTAGATCTGGCCGTGCACTCAGATGGAGAAGGGTGTGCAAGACCACGCAGCTGAGGCGCTGCCTCGATGCAGGGCAGTGCTGCCCCTGGCAGCACAGCCATCCTTCCTCTCTATGGCATCAGGCTGGCACACCTTGTTCTGGATGATTGTTTCAATCCCCCCAGCTCTGATTGATAGGCTGATTACTTAAAAAGTGTCGTACTAGGACTGCCAGGGAGAAGGCACTCACCTGGGGTTAAAAAGAGATGAGTCCTGCCCTTAGCACGTGACTGGGGCAGGTTTTACTAGAGGCCAGAGAGCACATGGGGCTGATCGCTGTAACCACAGCAGCTTTATTTATCGCTCTGGGTTGCGATGGTGTGAGGCCTGGTGAAGAGCTGCCCTTATCTGCCGACTTCAGCCTCCCTCCGGGAGAGAGCTGGACTAGATTTATGTGGGAAAGCCTTGCAGCAAGTCCATCCACACTGCTTTTAATGCCTTGCATGCTGTGAAGGAGCCCAGGAGGTCCTGAGCAGGACATGGCTTGGTCCAGCTGGGAGCAAAGCAGCAGGTGGACGTCACACAGCAAGCTCACCTTGAGTTTTCTGGACCCAACACCAGGAGCACCTCCCACCTCTGCGGGAAACACAGCGGCACGGGGCTGCCTCTCCTACATGAAACAGGCTGTCCCCTCCCAAAAATCTCATTTCTGGAACCACCAATGCTTGTTTTCTCACTAATCACCAGCTTCTCTTGCTGCTTTGAGTCGGTGGGACAGCAGCACAAGTTGGCTGAGGCAAAACAGCTGCTTTAACCCATTTCCCATCCCCTGATGGAGCTGGGGGGGTACCCAGTGTGGGCTGGTGGCAAACACCACCAGCACGTATCATTGCATCCATTCCTCCAAGCTGAATTTCCGGAAAGACTCAACCCTTGGATGCTCAGTCTTGTAAGGAGGGAGCCCGATATGTTATTCTGGTTTCTTGACATAAAGTGATGCTTTCTTCCCCAGAGTTGTGCTCTTGCTAAGAACAGGGACTTGACATCGGGTGGCCTTTCTGTGGACTCTGATCTCCAGGCTTGAGCCAATACCCTGCTTGCCCTGGGAAACTTAAAGTCAAGCTTTTTAAAGGCATCATTGTACCGTCAATAAGGAGATATAAAAGCCATAACAAACATGACACCAAAGATCAGTTCCCACACCAGGAGTGTCTGAGGGTTGGGAGACTGTTACTGGGACGTCCTTATGGGACCCCAGCACTAAAGTGCCGATGTCAAGGACCGGCACACCAGGGTGCATCAGGAAATCCCAGAGCAGCACCGCGTGCGTCGCTGGGACCTGTAACCACCTGGTGCTCAGCCCTTGCACAGCATCACCCCCCCAGCCCGGCCCTCTGAGGCAGCCGACCCTGCAGCTGCGCCTCTCCCACCCTGGCCGGGTGCTGGAGGGTTTGCTGCAGCGGCTCTGAGGGAAGACAAATCCAAACCGTTGCATTACCAAAGTGAAGTCCCCCCAAAGCCCATTGGGGTGGGGAAGGGGCCACAACCCCCCCGTGAGCAGCAGCCCCATGAGCTACCTCCGGGGGCTTTGGCCAGACACAGGAACGGCCGTCTCGGACACCGCTGCTGGGAAGAAAGTACAGACCTAGAAAAGGCCAGATATGAATATGCATGCATAGCCGAAATGCTCCCTTTGAGGAAAGTCTTCCTCCCCTATTAAGTAATTAAATAAAGCCCCGAGCTCTACTAAAATTAAAATAACAGAATCCATTTATTCTGGCAGGGCCCACTGGTGGCTGCTCTTGCCAAAAACATTTTTGTGGTTCTTGTCTTTTCAAGTGGCTCTTTTGCAATAAAACCCAGATGCCATTAGTCCAGGGAGGCCTCCAGGCAACTGTTTACGTCCATGAAAGATGCCCTTTGTAATTAATGAATCTCCCAAAAGCTGTGGTAGCACATTCCCCGTGGCTCCTGGCGTGTCCCTGCCCGCCGGCCCTGGCAGTGGAGGTGCGTGCTCATTCCTGGGCACCGAAGAAAGCTTTTGTGTTGCAGCCTCGCCACGAAAGGGGTTACTGTCCTCCTTGGGAAGACACAGCGGAGATTTCAACTCTTATCAAAACACAAACAGAAGTCAGCTCGCCTTCCCGCTGCCCTCACCCCGCTGCTGCTTCAGCGGCTGCTGCTCTTGCTCAACAGCAAATTGCAGTTGTTATAGGGGCAGGGATCAGCTGGGGACTGAGCCGGGAGGTGGCGGGGAGGGGGGGGGGGGTTACAACCTGGTTCCTGCGCCCTTTCAGGGGTTCAGGTGCTTCCAGATGACTCAGTCCTTGCAGGGTTTCCAAACCAGAGGGCAACAACACCTGAGAAATGTGGGCTTGGTGCGCACGGGGGGAAAAGATGATTCATGAGACTGCCCTGAGCAAAAAACCATACGAACAGCTGCACTGGGCCAGAGCAAAGAGCCGTCCAGGCCAGTGCTTTCTTCCAGATGGTGGCTGGTATCAGGTATCTACAGAAGAGTGTGCAAAAGCTGGTGGTTTGTAGGGCTCCTTCTCCCATTATCTCCTCCCAGCTGTGGGCAATTGGGGTTGGGGACTCCCTGTGGCTGAAGTGGCTCTGGGACTCTCACATTTCATTGCCACCAACTCATTTTATCCACCGTGAATTTGGCCAGCCTGTTTCTGAACCATTTACACTTTTGGCCTTTGCAGCGTCAGGTGATGGCAAATCCCACTGTAGAATTATGTGTCTGCTCGGCAAAGGCCGTCCTCGTGCTGGTTTTCAACCCATCTCCATCCTTAGCGTCAGCAGTGATTACCTTTATGTCTTCACAGCCTTCAGGATGTGCGAGAGCTCTCTCATACCCCTCAGCTTGTTTCTTCTCCAGCCTGAATGTCCCTAATTCAGGGATTTTTCCCCCGAACAGAAAGCCTCAGCAAAGACCAGCAAACATTTTGCTTCTCTAGGACCATATCTTTGCTCAGCCTCTATGTAATGTGGTTGCAAATAGAAAGAATTGCTTTAGGAAGGGTCAGTCCTCGCTGCCTCATTTGTAACATAACGACTCAGCCTGGGGTTTGGTTGTTATTGGTGTTTTAGCTGTTGTTGGCTTTTCATTGTTGCTTTTTTGATAGATGAGTTTAATTTTGCTGGCATATTGCACAGGTTTGCAAACCAGATGTTGCTGCTGCAAGACGGTAACAGTAACGCAGGCAGGGAGCAGTTCATCACAGCACGTGGATGTCGCAACCGTGGCGAGGTCAAAGACGAGGGGTCAGGGCGTGAGGGGGATGCAGGTCCCTGCTCCTCAGGACCCGGGGCCGCAGTTGCCATGAGAACTGCTGGTGGCACAGCAGTGAACCTCGCCAACGCTGCCGCCACCTCCCATCCATCTCCCATTCCCCCGGGGAAGGACCGGACCGTTGGCAGGAGACCAAGCTGCAGAGAGGAAAACTCTGCTGAGAGCCTGGAAGGAGGGATGGGTTTGTGTAACCACATGGTGATGGTGTGAATCACTGGTGTTTTGCAGATGCTCGCTGCTGTCCGGGGGTGATATACAGGGCGATGTGAATGTGAGGGGATGGGATGTGGTGTGGCAGGCAAGGGGGAGCGAGGAGAGGAGCTGGGAGCACCCAGGAGGAGCAGACAAACGGCCGCTCATATGGCTCCTACACCTTCCTGGCTTGCCGCCTTTAACACGGAGGAGCTCAGGTTATCCTGCGGCCAAATCCTGCAGTCCTTTAGCAAATCATACCCAAGGCCTGGCCCAGGAGGGCTTTGAACTCTCAAGGGGACCATGGAGCAGGATGCACCCTGGCACGAGCCCCAAGCCCCTTCCCGTTCCCAGCTGGGAGAGCTTCCCGAAGCAGCCTGAGTGTAGGATTTCTTTGGGTGGAAGAAGGAAATCGCTGGGGTCAGGGGGCTGATATTGCACATTTTTATGTGACATCAGCTTGCTGCCACCTTGAAAATACCAAAAGATGGAGACTTACATCCTGGCCCTTGAAAATCCCCTGTGCCCTGCAGGAAGAGAGTGTTGTTACTCCAGAAATTCACTGTTATTCCAGGGAATTTAAGCCAATGTGCAGGAAACCCCAGTGTGGGCAGGGAGGAATTTAAAGGGGTAGGACATTAGGACTATAGAGATGTGCTCTGTTCTTACAGTGCCATTGCAAGAAGGGAGGCAGGATCCCCCTCAAGAAGCCCCTTAGAGGCCTTGAATAGGCAAAATAAGTTTAGGTCTAATTCTAGGTAAATAGGCAGCCAAAGGAAGTGGGAAATCAGGAGTGTGTTTAGATGCTTTGCTGAATCGGAGCCTCCTGACTGTCTGCGCAAGGGGGAAAGCAAGCTGGGCTGGAGGCGTGAGGCTCAGGAGCATCCTGCCTTCGGTGCCCGGGACATCCCCAGAGCACTGCCTGCGCTCAGCTCCCCCCACCCTGCCCAGGGGCATTCAGCGCTAACGTGTCCCTCTCTCCTCCTCTCTCAGGGACCTCATGCCCAGGACCCTGGAGGGGCAGATCACCATGGAGAAGACCCCCAGCTATTTTGTCACCAAGGAGGCCCCAGCCCGCATCTCCTCCATGTCCAAGGGCACCAAGCTCATCGTGGTGGTGCGGGACCCCGTGACCAGAGCCATCTCGGACTACACCCAGACGCTCTCCAAGAAGCCTGATATCCCCACCTTTGAGAGCCTGACCTTCAAAAACAGGACTACGGGCCTGATCGACACCTCGTGGAGCGCCATCCAGATTGGCATCTACGCCAAGCACCTGGAGAACTGGCTCCTCTACTTCCCCATCGGGCAGATCCTCTTCGTCAGCGGGGAGAGGCTGATCAGCGACCCCGCGGGGGAGCTGGGCAGGGTCCAGGACTTTCTGGGCCTCAAGAGGATCATCACCGACAAACACTTCTACTTCAACAAAACCAAGGGGTTCCCGTGCCTGAAGAAGGCGGAAGGCAGCAGCAAACCCCACTGCCTGGGGAAGACGAAAGGCAGGACCCACCCCGACATAGACCAGGAGGTGGTGCAGAGACTGCGGGACTTCTACCGGCCCTTCAACATGAAGTTCTACCAGATGACGGGGCAGGACTTTGGCTGGGACTGAGGCTGAAAAAAATAATTTAAGAAAAGGAAAATATAATATAATATATATTTTTTTTACATATCAGTAGAGAGGGGGGAAATACAGAAAAAAAAAATAGTTGTGCTGAAACATGGTTTGTTCTTTTTTTCTTCTGACACTGCTTTGTTTTCTTTCTTCTCTCAGAGGTGAGGTGATGTGTCTGACCAGAAAAGGAGGCTGTGAACAGCAGCCTGGTCCTATGGACATCACCTGCAGCTTGGCTGCTTCCTTCAATGGGCCCAAGGTTTAGCACTGTCTCTGTAAGAAAAAAGCAGGTGCAAAGTTTTAGATGTCCTCATGTCCACCTCCAGAAGTGACAGGGGTGCTTGAGGGAGCTCAGAGCCTTACTGGAAGGTCAGCCAGATTTTGGCTTGCAAATGCCATTTTAGACCAGCCCTCATCACTTTTGACAATGAAACAAAAGAGGCTTAATATCTAATTTGGCTTTCAAAACCTTACCTTAGGGGATTTTTTTATTGCATGAAACCTTTGGTGAAATTTTTTTAATTTATGCAATTTTTGTTTGACTCTTGCCCCCCTCTAAATCAAGCTCTTTTCATCAACCAAACTTATTTTTCATCTTATAGAAGCCAAAACCAATATTCCTTTGTTTTGTTTTGAGACAAAACAATTTTGGTAGCCAAAAGTGAAAGAAAACAAATGATTCTTTTGACTCTATGATGAAAACTGCCAGGTAGTCAAAAGGCCTCATTCACAGGAGTTGGCTCTAAACCAGTGTTCCCCATTGCCAGCAACGTGCACCCCTTTTGCTACGCTGACAGCAGAGCGCTTTTCCCAGGGGGGCCCATCTGAAGGGATTTGGGTGATGGCCAAGGAAGGTCCACCCTGAGATGATGCTCATGGTACACCTGTCTTGAAGGTGATGGGGGACCCACCATCCCACCACTCGTATGTAGGAAGCAAGTTCACAGTGTCTGGTGGATGCTGTTTAAGCCATAATGAAGAATGTTTTAAGTTGGGCCAGTCTTAAAACAGTGGAGAAAGGGTTGTTTGGGAAAAAAAAATGAACAAAAATCATGTCCAGAAAGGGGAGAGAATGAGGAGAAGATGACGGAAGTTTTCTTGTCCTTTCCTAAAGGAAAACTGAGGGGGAAGCAGGAGCAAGAGCATTAGTTCTGCAGGGCTTTAAAAATTGTCAGGCAAAACGAATCTCCTGTTTGCAGTAACCTGGAGCTTTAAATTCTTTGCTTTGATCCTTATCACCTTTTTTGGCTGGTAGAAATGTCTCGGCAACAGAAATGTATTAGTGAAGCAGGATCTTGTATTACCATGGGCTCATTTACCTGCTGGCTCTTTATCTGCAACATTTTCTGGACTATCGGAGCACCTAATTATCGCTTGGTGCTGTATAAACACAACACAATGATGCTCCCTCTCCTGAGTCTAACTTTAAAAAGCCCCTGATGGGGTAAAACAAAGTGGGGGATCTGGTTAGGAAGAAGCCTGGGGACCAAGCTTGCTGGCTGCCTGCACACCGGCCAAGATCTTAATAAAATCACAGCAGAGCAGAGATTTCAAGGAGTCCAAAGAGAATTGTATCTGAAATTACAGTTTAACCCAAGAGGGAGTCATCTTCTCCTTAGGCTGTCCTGCTTGGCAGGTTAGGAGAACAGCTTGGTACCTGCTCAACTTCATGGCAGCAAGTTCCACTGCAGGGGTTGAGCCACATTCCCGCCTGGCTGCCCTGAGCCTCCTCCTTCCTACCCATCCCTACACGCCTCCCTCCATTCCCGAGGATGCAGTGTCCTGGGACCTTCCTATCCCCTGAAGACAAAAACCCACCTGGTTTTGCATGCAAGGCCCATTTCCCAAGGCAATTAAAATAATTTCATTAGTGTTGTGAGGCCCCAGGACTTTCTCCCACCATTGTCGCCCCAAAGCCTTACCTGAGCTCAGGTTTCCGTGCCCCGGCTGGTGGAGCGGTGGCGATGGGCTGGCGGCACCAAAGCCGGGCTGTGCTCATCAGTCTGTCCTGGCATGGCACGGCGCGGTGCCACCCTTGCTGCCTCCACTGATACCTTCACCCCCTTCCCAGCATTCTTGTTCCAGTGTGTCCCATTTTAAGCCCCTTTTTGGCAACGTCCTGTGCCACATCTGGGTAAACGTTTTACATAATTGCCTTCTGCAAACACCTTACAGCAGAAAGGCAGATGAGGGATCCCACAGACCCCCAACAGCCCTTTCTCACCTGCCTTTGTTCAGCCCCTCAACGTTCATGCAGGAGATGACATGAGAAAATCAGAGATGGTCAAGCAGCTTTGGCTTCATGGGGTCATGGTCCCTCCCAGCATCTCTGCAGCTCATTGCTGGAGCTCAAAGCTCCCAAATCAGAAGAAGCTGGAAGAGTGTTGGGCTCTTGGTAGCGGTCTCCCCAAAGTGCCACTGGAGACGAGGGGAGCAATCTGCTCTCTGCCCGTGCTGGCCAGATCAAAGGGGAATGGGCTTAAGGTGTAGCCAAAAGGATGGGGGTTAATTATTGGGAAAACCTTTCTAACAGCAAGGCTTGTTGGGGCAGGAATGGGAGATGGCCACCATCCCTCCTGCACTGTCCTCTTCCATCCAAGTGCAAAAGCCAAGCTGGCAGCGAGGACAAGGCGTCACTTGCTCACGGGCACAACTGAACAGTGCCAACACTACCGAGGCACAAAATCTGAGGTTTTCCAAGCTGAAAAGAAGATTTAAGCATGTAGTTTCTTTGGTATTTCAAGGAGACTTAAGGTTGGGCTAATCTGTACATGCCTTTGACAAGTATAAATACCACTTAAGAGTATGATTTTAAAAAATCAATATAATTATATTGCTATTGTCTCTCATACGGTCACATTTAGACTAGTATAAAGCAGCTTTATAGTGCTACAGATTGTTCTTCCCGTATTGAACTAGCTATAGCAATATAAAGCACCTTCATACAAATGAGTTTCTACAACCGCCACCAAGTCACTGTCATTAAATCAGTATAGCTTCGCTGTGTACACAAGCCTAACTATCATACGTGCCTTTAAAGAACTCTTCCCAGCACATTGAACTCAGCTACATAAGCATACTTTCCCAAAAGTGCTTGAATGCTTTACTTCCACGAATTTCTGAGGGTCCGGATCCCTCGATGCACACCTAGTAAAACTATTTAGGGATCTGAGACTGTAATTGATTTTTTTGATCTGGGCCATAAGTATTTTTGAAAATCCCTCCACGTACGAACAATGGCTTTTAAAAAGAGGTCATGCAATCAAATTGCTTTGAACTCTAATAACATTTAAGCCTTTAAACTCTTTAGGCTTATTTTAAAATCCAGCCATGAAGTTTAGATTATCTTAACCTAAGAAAAATTGGAAGTAAACTATTGAAAACTGCACCCCCGCCTAGGCCTACAGTATTGAGCATGTGTATTAGAAGGGGAAAGCAAAAGTAGCTATAAATAAAAAAGAAAGTGACCTATAGAGTTTGATTTTTTTTTTCGAAGCAGGAAAATCAATACATTAACGATGAGAAACTGATTAGGTGTATTAAAATTCTTCTGGTTTCAATAATCAAATGTGCCATTAGGCACTGATGAAGCTTAGTCTTACATGCCATGCAACATTTAGATTTTAGAACATCTGTTTTAAGAGGAAAAAAAAAAACCTTTATAAAGCATCCTATCAACGTCAAGTGCCAAATTCATCATAAGGAAGAAATTTTTTACACTGAGGGTGGTGAGACACTGGCACAGGTTGCCCAGAGAGGTGGTGGATGCCCCATCCCTGGAAACATTCAAGGTCAGGTTGGACGGGGCTCTGAGCAACCTGATCTAGTTGAAGATGTCCCTGCCCACGGCAGGGGGGTTGGACTAGATGACCTTTAGAGGTCCCTTCCAACCCAAACTATTCTATGATCCTATGAACTTTGAGCAGACAGACACATCTCCTTCACCCCCCCATTTGCAGCACTGCACGGGTGCCCCTTGGTCAACAGGCAGTGGGTCTGCTGCGGGTCTGCACAGCACCTTGCCGAGCTCAGCCCCACAAACGGGGCACTGCAGCCCTGGTGCACAGCAACCACCATGAGCTTTGGGTACAGGGGTGCTGGGCACAAGTATTGCACTTATTCTGCAAAAATCAGGGGTTTTTCCACTGATAGCGGTGACATGCTTTGGCACAAGCTTGTAGAGCCCAATTCACAAAGACAGCTGAACATGAGACCTGCCTATAGCCTGCTGCAGCGGCAGCTTTCAGCCAAACCCAAACTGTGGGAAGGCTCTTTGCACCCTGCTTCAACCGGCCACACCTGGAAAATTTCAGAGAAACGGGTTTTTCTTTACCAGTGCAGTTTGGCAAGACAAAAACCGGCCCCTCTGCTGCGGTGATTCGCATCTGTGCGATTTCTGGAAGGGCAAGGACCGCGGTGGCTGCTGCGTCCACGCTGTAGTTGATGCTGATTTCGTGCTGTGGGGAATTTAATCAACACCTAAGGAAATGCTGCTACCCAGTAATTTACACAGTTAAAAACATCGCTGTGCCACGGAGATCAGTGTATGAGACTCCTTTACATGGTATTCGGGGTGGTCTTTGGGGTACAGCACTAAGAAGTTAAATTTCCAGCAAAGATTTGGCCGTTCCTACCTTGCATGCAGTTATTTTGACTAACACTGATCCTTAGCCTCCTCGGTTCTCCCGCATACACACTAGCATACACAATGTTAGGTCTCCAGTTTAGGAAAAAAAAAAAAAATTGCCCATTTTCTTAACCATTAAAAAAAAATCTTGTTCGTATATAATGGTTTCTGGGTTTTCTCTTCTCCCTGCTTGGTGACACTGTCATCCTTCTCCCTTTGGTGCTATTCCAGTATGAAACAGACTGATTTTAATTTAATTTAAGAATGAAAAAGCACACATTTAATAAAGTTTACGGGTACTGAGAGGCTGTGCTCTCTTTTTGCTGGTGGCAGCAACCTGGAAAGAGTGGGCAGGTTTATAAAAGAGGGGAAAACACAGAATTACCCACTTGTGTCTGATTT